ATAAATAGCAACTCAAAGAAACAGCTTTAAGATAAAAAACAAAGTCATTTTTAACAAAAACTATCATTATTTAATTAATAAATTTAAAAAAAAAATTCTCTTTCATTTTACGCCAAAACTGCAAAGGAGAAACATTTTTCGCTTCACCTGAAACGAGCAAAATCCAAAATCAAGAGAAAAATTGACTTTTTTTGGCGTAAAATCAAAGATAACAAAAAAAATGCCAATGAAGTGTTTATTATTGAGAAACTAGTCAAGAACAAAATTTTGTTCTAAGTGGTCGAAGCATTGTTGACATAGGGCATTTATTTTTGGAATTAAAAAACATAAAACATAACATTTTTTCTTGTAGTTTTTTGAACATTAACATCATTCAAGAAACACATTTGGGGTTTAAAAGTGTTTTTAAATACAAATGTAGTATGGTTAGGGCAATAGGAACTTTTAGTACCGAAAAAGAAAATCACACAAATGAAGTAAATGAAGCAGCTGTTTGTGGCACAGTAGCTATAATAGGTGCTGGTTATTCTCAACTAACAGAATTTTGCGCAGCTTTGAACATTCCACAACTTAATAAAAAAACATAGCGTGCATTGGCAATTGAAGCCGGTGAAATTGATGAAGATGGAGTAGACGGTGCTTGGTCTAAACGTTCGTTTAAATCAAATTGCAACGCATCATCTGGTGCTGCAGCAATAGTCGGTGCTAGAAGTAAACAAAAATTATACGTAGGAGTCAAAAATAAAAATTGTAAAAAATGTATGTATTATAAGAAAAAAAAAACCAAACGGCCCCTCCTCATAAATGTTTTCAAAATTGCAAAAATACTTCGACTTCGATGGAAGCTGCAATTATTTTAGATGGATTTCAAAAATCAATAGACATGCATAATGTAAGATTTAAAAACCTTATAGGAGATCGTGATAGCAGTGTCTACAAAAAAATTCGTAATGCGAGACCCCATGGACCTAATTATTTCATTCAAAAAATTGAATGCCGAAATCATATATTACGAAATTTTTGTACAAAGTACAAGGTCAGCTCCACATTACTAATCGCCAAATATGTTATTTTATAGTGTACACCTCCTGCGATTTGAAATATTGTATTATTGAAAGAGACGATTCAAAATACTGGTACGGAAAAATGATAGATTGTCTAGAAAAATTTTATATGAATGCCATGTTACCTGAAATAATTGATTCAAGACATAGTCGGGATTTACCAATACGAAGCATAATAAAAAATGATTTGTAAATATGCCAAGTTTAGTTTTAGAGCTTTATAAATACATATTGACGTGCATCGGTTGAACTATACTGAACAAAAAAATAAATCGTAATTTCATTACGGTCCAGAATTAGTGGATAGTCGGCATGAGCGGCGAATGAACTTACGTGATACATAATTGTACTCGTAACTTGTAACGGTAGTTTTTTTTATTCCATTTGTTACTGTGATAAGTGCTAAATAAATAAATAATTCAGCCCTACGGGGTTCCTGCTTTCCGGTCGCTAGATCGGAGAGTACCCTGCTTCCCGATCACTAGATTGGAGAGTACAAATCACAAATCGACAGTAATAAATGATAACAAGTAATTGTCAAAAAATTAGTACTTTACGAATATTTAGTATTTTTTGTCTCTCAAAATGTTTTCCTATTTTGTATCCCAAAACTTGCCTTCGTTACTTTTCTTTTTTGCTTTCACTCCTATTTCACAAACTGATCTGACCTTTTGCAATAGCCCAATATATTTTTACCAATAATTTCTTTTCCTTCGTTCCTTAATAAATCATTTCTGGTACCATCCTTCCCCTTTCCTGCCAAGAATGCTCTAAACCTCCTCGTGGTTCTTGCTGGACAAATTAATTTTTATTTTTTTATTTATTTTAACTTTTTGTAATACACATAACACAATAACGATAAACATAATATGTGTCTCCACCACAAATACCTAGAATTGTTTTTAACACAAAATTAGTTTGGCTAATTAGAGCTGTCCGTAAAGACCAACCCATATAATAATTCCTAAGCAAAAACCGTCCTCAGTGGAATTAATATAAATATTATATTTTAATTTTTTATTTTTTAGGTTTACGTATTGGTCTTAGTGCCTTTATATTAAACCTATCTATTTTTTTAATTTATTTTTAAATAGATGAATAATAAAAAAAATGAAGTTTTGAAATGAACTAACAATTCTCTTATTGAGGGGTGCAAATGCATATCTTTGCTTTGAACAAACGCAATAAAACTATCATGTTGTGGGTTACACCCTGCGGTGCGGCCCGGCTTGTCGTAAATTATGCTCCAGGTGCAATGGATCTTGAAATGATGTGTATTATTGATTGCCTACTTTTAATGTAATTTTTGCTTTGTATCAAAAAATCAAGAACAGTTATCAAATTCGCATTATAACAGGGAACTGTATTTTTAAATTACCTATAAAATGATTTTTTCTTTATTTCAATACGGTATACCGTTATCAAAAATTCTTAATAATTAAGATTTTCACATTTTATTCAATAAAAAAATATCTATTAACTTATTTAAAGCGGGAATATTATCCTAGTCTCTATCTACCTTTAAAGAAACACTACAAACATCAAGAAACTCTTCAAGTCTAAATTTGCGGCTAAAAACAATGAAATAAATTTACATGTAATAGGTATACGCCAGCTTTCAGGGAGTCTGGAGCCTTAAGAAATTATAGTTGAGTAAAAATATTTACTATTTTTACTCAAAAACAGAACGGCAGAACAATGACCTTGTTTATGTCGAAGTATTGAAGTAACGTAGATCAGCTCGGTGAAGTTAGCAAGATTTATCTTGCTGTCAAGACTGAAATTACAGTCGACCAAAAATTTGCTGCTCGCATAAAGCATAATATTTTACAAAATATGGAAAAACTATCATTTTCAATTTCAAATGACTATTGTAGATAGTTTTTTGATGTTTCCAATGTAAATCTGTCATTAATAACAATTTCAATGAATTATATTGTTGCAACTGTGCGATTCAAGGTCAAATGTATTTCACTTATGCATTGTTAACTTTATTTTTTTCAAGTGTCATCCCGCGTATCGATCTTTTTCATTTTTGCAGAAAATAAAGCTTATTAAAAGGGCATTTGACTGTAAAAAAATGGTGGGGTTACAATGGCTTTTTAGGGCTGTAATGATTTTTTTTTGGTTTTCTCAAAACTCAAATTCAAATATATTCAAATATGTTTATATTGAACCGTATGAATAAAGTTAAGTAAATGCTTCTACTTGTAATAGTTAAAAATAGTCGTAATTTATTAGATTTTATATGAGAAGAATGACACAAAACTATCGTTAAAGCTTTTGCTACATTTTATTCATACAACCCATTTACGTTTTTTTTTTCCTTTTTTTACTTTATACCTAGGTATTATTTTGTATAGGTGTAACTATTATTATCAAAGGGAAATTTTACTGTAATATGATTTAATAAAGTAGTAGGTATGTAATTTTATTTTTGTTATAATTGTTTTAATGTACTTATATTGGGTAAACAATATTAAAGCGAAAAAAAAAAAGAATTTTGTAAAATATTTATTATAATAATATCTACATATGGGTATATTACAAAATTAATTATTTTTTTGGAGTCGTAGGTATATGTTGCATTTACGGTGCCATAATAGTGATGGTCTCCGGCGCCGTGGTTCCTGTTATAAAAATCTTGTCGCCTGTAACAAAAAAATTATTGTAAGTTTTATTTTATTTAAGTTAAAAGACAATAGTGATGTACAAACCTTTCTGTTCGCGACTTATTGCTGTTGTTGTTCCACTTGTTGTTCCATCCGCCGCGGCCTCTTCCGCGGCCTTTTTGTTTCTATAATAAAAGACTTACTTTAAATCTCTAAAATAATACCAACACTTTCATCTTGATGCATATTTACTTACACGCTCTGACTTCAGTTCATCTCTGAGCTTTTTTAATTCCTCCATTAAAAAAGCCACCTCGGGAGCCCTCGCAGCGGCTCCAGAACCATCATCTGAAGCCTCCGAAGCGGCTTCTGAAGCATCGTTTTCTTCCACTTCGATATCGCAGATAGGCGAATCAATGCGTAAATTTTGTATGTATGTCAATATTTTGTTGTTCACTCTGTATGCACACAACAATAATTGTTAAAATCTAATTCAAATACAAAACATAACACAGCAAACATTAATTAAATTGATTTAATAAATCAAATGAAATACCTAATGATTTTTTATGGAACTTACCATTATTACAGAATACTCATTACAGCCTTAACACGTTGACTGCCGTGAGACATAAAAGTGGCGTTTCAATGTACTGCCATTATCGGCCATGTGACACAACATGTATGTCTCGGTAACTATTCGTCTGAAACGCTGTGTGAGCCAACGTTTGCGTCTCGCTGCCGTGTAAACTCTGTGGCAACTGGAGAGCTAAAATGCCACATTTTAAGTAGTATTTGAAATCGGTTTCGAGACATAACAGACTTTATCACATTCTGATATATTGGCATTTTTGACCAATATGATTCAATGCTTGGGTATTGAATAAGTCCTATCCACAATAAGACACCAATAAATTTTCTCATTTCTTCAACATCTGTATTATGCCAATCTCGAATTCTAGCTTTAGGTGCATTTTGTTTAGCTTTACATTGAGCTGCATATCGGTTTGTTTCAGTTACCATCATAATGAGAATATTTTCGTCCAAAAATAATTCATAAAAATCAAGTGGTGATTTTATATAGTAGTTTTCATAGATTTCGGCACTTATTCCTGGATTGGGTTCTGTGAATACAAAGTTCTTCAGGTTTAATCCTGTTACGCGATCCCAAGTAAGACTGTCATCATCTGGAACCTCTTCATCATCACTGCTGCTAACACACGCATTTTCCTCAATAACTCGCTCAATTGTTTGTAATACCGAGTCACTTATGTCTGATACACTTGAACAACTTGGTTTTGGCACATTTCGAGCATTGACAGTGATATTATCAATTTTGGGACGCTTCTGTATAGGTGTCCTATCGAAGTCATCGGAGAATTCGTCAGATTCGTTTTCGTTACTCGGAACGTATTCATCGGAGGATTCACCAAACAAACTTTGATTGTCATCTTCGTCAGACAAACATTCCTAACTGTTAACACTTGCAGCATTCACTACATAATTTATTTTGTTATCCTACCTGCCATAGCTGCTGCAAACGCTTTTGCTCTTCTTCGAAACTCATTTTTTTAATTTTTCAACATAAACAGATACAAAAATATGTATGTCAGTTCAGAGACACTGTACTGACATTACTAACAAGTAACCACGAACCAGCATCAGTCAGGAATTCTAGTTAAGACAAGTTGAGTCCAGACGTTGCGAGGAACCACGTTGGGTACTCGCGGCTTTTAAGGTAATAATAACCCTTGAGGCCACGTGACACAAAAGGTGAGTCTCATTCAAAATATTGTTATAAACAAATAATTTTTGTAAATAAAAATTGTCAGCAGCTTTGAAAAGATAAGATAGTGTAAGAAAAAAGAAAAAAAGTTTTGGCTGGAACACCTCACTTTTTTTTAACATTGCGGCAGTCAACGTGTTAAAAAGCCATTGTAACCCCACCAGTTTTTTACGGTCAAATGCCCTTTTAATAAGCTTCATTTTCTGCAAAAATGAAAAAAATTGATACACGGGATGACACCTGAAAAAAATAAAGTTAACAATGCATAAGTGAAATACATTTGACCTTGAATCGTACATTGGAAACGTCAAAAAAACTATCTAGAATAGTCATTTGCAATAGGAGAAAATCAGCAAAGTAGCTGACCTCTGGTGTCCGATTTGAAACTATTCAAATGGGGAAAACACATTTTGACAATATCAGTTTTCCATTTTTGTCAATTTGACAAGTCAATGTAAATGTGAGTACTTGCAAGCGTTTTTGCTCCGTATCTCATTGCAGAAACTATGTGGGTCTATTTCGGTGAATTACTTTCTAAAATGGAGATTTCAACTTGGGGTATTATTGTTTTAAATAAAAACAATACTTTTAAAAGGTTAGGTGACAGATTAAATAGAACTAAAAGTTGTCACAAAATTTCGTCAAAATCCCGCCAAAAGTCGCCGCGCCGTCGTCTAAGCTACGCGCCAAAATTAGTAAAGGAGACATCTGGCACATCAACTGCAAACTATTCAAATGGGGAAAACATTGATGTTTTAGTACCATCTATTGGCGAGTGATTTTCTTCTATTGAAAACGCTTATTTTTCCATATTTTGTAAAATATTAAGCTTTATTTGTGGTAGGGGAAATGCCACAACGCGACGCGAGCAGCAAATTTTTGGTTGACTGTAATTTCAGTCTTGACAGCAAGATAAATCTTACTAACTTCACCGAGGTACGAAGATCTGCAACCAAAAATACTCCACAACGAAACCACAACCACAGTTCATTACGTTCATAAGGTTCATAACCTCACTTTACAAACTAAAATAAGTGAATAAGCAGTTAGACGATTCGTTATTATAATTATTATGTGTTAAGTTATTATGGAAGTGTCCTCACTCATAAATTCATTGTCATTAACCGACAATTCAAATATTTTCAATTTTGCTGCAAAAATTAACGAAGTACCCACCGAATTTGTGATCGGTACTTTCACAAATCAGAATCTCTTTGTTATTACACAATTCGGCAAATTGCATAGTTTATATTTAGTTTCAGTGGATCAAACTGAAAACGGGGTGTGTGCCGCAGAGCCTGTCTTTTCTGTCCATCAATTATTAGGTAAAGAAAACATCTACGGTGAAGCCGCAGCCAGATTCATTACTAAAGAACTGAACATCCGAAAGCAGCTACTTATATTTCTGAACTTGAAAGAATATACACGAGACACTGTGCTCAGCATTGTGGAAGCTATTAAGAATTATTCCCGAGATAAAGATGTCTGTAGCAAAGAGAACAAAAGTTGCTGAAAATTACTTTGGTCAAGTTGTAATCGGGCCCCCCGGATCAGGCAAAACCACATATTGTGGCAAAGTTTATGATTTCTATAAAGACAAGTTGAACAGGAAAGTTGAAGTAGTGAATTTAGATCCAGCTAATGAAAATATGAACTATAAACCTGCTATTGATGTTATGAAGCTAGTAACTGTTGAGGATGTAATGGACACTTTGAAATTAGGACCTAACGGGGCCCTTATGTACTGTATGGAGTACTTGGAGGAAAATTTTGATTGGTTGTTAAAGCAATTAATTGAAATTAAAAACAGTTACCTAATCTTCGATATGCCAGGGCAAGTGGAGCTTTACACACACCATAATTCTATTAAAAATATTTTTGGAAAGTTGGAAAAAATGGGGTACCATTTGTGTGCAGTGCATATGGTCGATTCTCACTATTGTTCAGACCCTTCAAAATTTATTTCAACTCTTTTACTGAGTCTCTCAACAATGATGCAGATTGCTTTACCACACGTTAACGTTTTGACTAAGGTAAAGAATCAAAAAAAAATTTAATTTTGTAAACACTAAATTTCGTTCTAGGCTGATTTACTGAAGAAGAATGCTGACAAGTTAGATTTCAATATTGATTTTTATACTGATGTTCTGAATCTGGATTATTTATTAGACTTGTTAGATGATGCGCCACTTACAAATAAATACAAAAAACTCAACAAGGCTTTGGTTGATTTAATCCAGGATTACAGTTTGGTTTGTTTTGTTCCATTAGATGTCAAATCAGAGAGGAGTTTATTAAATTTGAAAAGTGCAATCGATAAGGTATTAATTTATTTAAACCGTTTTTTATAATTTATATATCAAATTTTAGGCTAATGGTTACATTTATGGCAGTGGTGAAGAACGAAGTATTCAAGCTTTACTGTCATGTGCAGTTGGGTCGAGAACTGAATCTGAAAGATACGACGCTGATTTCTTTTAGTGTTTAATGTACTGAATTCATTTCACAAAATATAAATGTTTTTTTCAATTTTGTTTTTATATCCACACAAATTAAACCTAAATTTAATGTAATCCTATCATTATTTTGCTGGGGGTTTGGCCTTCTGTTTTTCCAACTGTGCTCTAAAAAATAATTTTTAATTTTTGTGAAACACACGTTACAAAATTTACCTCAATTGTTTATTAAAATCATCTTCCACGTTATCATCCTCCCAGTTGTCTTCCCAAACACTAATATCTTGCTCATCTTTGTCTTTCCCAGTCCAATCTAAAAACAGAATAGACAATTTTGCAAATCATTTGGCTTAACCTCACACTTACCCTCGACCGGAAATTCTTCAAATTCGTCGTCCTCCTCAAGAACACCAAGATCTAATTTAGGTTTTTCAGTCATATTTAGAACTAGTTTTATAAACCCACTTCTAAATGTTATATGTTGTTTTATAATATTCAACCTTTATAAGTTTTTTCTAGAAATGTCGAGTTCGACAGTTCTTACAAATTTCTGTATTAACAACTTTTACCGTGGTGCTGCCATCTGTTGCTTAAACTCTCAAAGTTTCACCTCCAATTTGTAGAAGTATTTTTTAACAGTTTTAAGTCACCCTATTGAAACAGTATAATGCTTTTTATTATTGCTCATGTGTTCATAGACATGTTCATGAAAATTTAAAGGATTATGCTAGAAAAAAGTCCGTGTTCTGGAAGACATTTCATAAATAGAATAAAAATTTATAAATAAGAGAACACTGTTTATTTAAAACCACAGTGTTATTTTCAGTAGAGTTCCCGCAAAAATTTTATGTTGTGCAACACAAAATACAAAACGCACGACTTGCTAGATACTGTTTAATGTTTTACAAATAAAAAATCGTAACTTAATGATTTAAAAGTTAAAATAAAATTTTGATTTCTACATATTTAAATTTATTGAAATTAAATTTGTTTATTTTTTTTGCGTAAAATTATAAAGGTGTATAGTATAACCTTTATATAAACAGCTAAACGAATACCAAGATGAAAAATTTTGCAAAATTTTTAATCAGGGGCGTCCTAAACGGTAAAACAAATTTAATTTTTAATTTTTATGCTGTTTATGGTCTGTAACATAAAATTTTAAACTGATTTTACTGAAAATCGGTAAATCGCATCGGAAAAACGGAAAACACTTTATTTTATGAAAAACTAAGAAATTTAGAATTTTGTTGCTGAAAGTGGCAAGAACCACAGGCAAAATAAACCCACCCAGTTTATTATTATTAAGTATTAAAAATTTGTTTTATTTTTGTTACTTTTGTGAGTTAATTTGTATTTTTTTATGTTTAATTAGAACATTTTATTTCAAATTAAAATAAAAAGGTCTATACTTAGAGATGAGCAATCCTTTTTTTTCTTTCATTCCATTTTCATAGACCAATACTCCCCCGAAATAAAATCCTGTTACGTCCCTCTGTAGGTAGGTATGTTACAATTATTAAAAGCTTAATTAATTATGTTTGTAAAAATGATAAAACAATACAAATTCTGTAAATAAACGACTTTCGTTGACTATTTATAATTTTACCTATTGTTAAAATTTATCGTTGACAAACGAAAGCTCCATAGGTTGACTCAATGAATTAATATTTTGATAACTGATTTGTGTGTTTTTATGAAATGTGGATCATATTTTGGACTATTTTGTAAAAAAGTAATTATTATTTTATTATTATATTATTTCTGTAGTTGATTTTTTTATTACTTAAAACGTACTCGTACCTAACGTTAGACAAATATACCTACAAGCAATTAATGAAAAATTTGAAAGACACTAATAATCCAAAAGCGGATTAAAAAATACGCTTGTTGAATTATTTTGAGGAATCACAATTATTTTTTATTGAAATTCAACCTTTTTAAAAAAAAACGGACAACGTAGCACTAGGATATCACCCTTAGTTCATTAAAAAAAAAGAATTGGCTTAAAAGAAAGAAAAGCTCGGAGAGAAGTTACTGAAGTTAGGGACTTTTTTAAATTTGATTATACAGGTGTCTCAGGGGTGCGTGCAAGCTCCATAACTTTTTTTCTATTCAAGACTTGATTTTTTAAACGATAGGTCCGACAATAAGACACATTTCTAAAAAGTTCTATTTAATAGAGGATGGCTTAAAATAAGATACACAACTAAGTTCTGTTTTTTTTTGTAATGAAAACTCCCAATTTTTGTAACATTTTTGAATTTGTCATTGTCGATATAACGCACCTGGTTTCTTAGATTTATCTGCAATAGTTTTTAACTTATGTCAATTTATGTGTCAAAATAACGTCGTAGATAGACCCACAGTAAAATTCATAACTTCAGAACCATTCAAGATAACTTAAACAGCATCTTCTGAGATAAGGGCGAATACGGAGTCGATGTTCCATCGCCCACTACGATTTTTTAACCATGCATGACAAATTACAAATGACAATAACTCGACTTTTTAAAATAGGTACAGTTGCGGAATTAAAATTTCGGGCAGTATTTTTCTGTAACTTTAAAAAGTTTACTGTAAACTACTTTTTACTGTCATCATGACTGACATTTGACTATTAAACTTTTTTTTGTGTTAAAATTGTTAATTAAACAAATTGTTTGTCTTATGATATTTGTTAATTGAACTAAGTGTAAATTATCGCTTTGATCTGCTGCCTACCCTTTATTATATCACCAATCACTATTTTTGAAAGTAAAAAGTCAAAATGACATAAACATGACAAGAGTAAAAAATGAGGTTATTACTGTAGAGGTTGTTTTAGAGTTTACATTATGAAATTGACAATACTGCCCGAAATTTTAATTCCGCAACTGTACAACACTATATTTTATTGCATCATTGCATGGCATTTTTATGAGCTTTTTGTTGATTAGAGTTTGTGGAGTCTACTTTGTAAAATTTGTGAGATTTTGAGAAATAAGAAATGTTGATGGTTTTTTCGAAAAAAATAAATCGTGGGCCACTGTCGTAAAATTCGTCTTAGAAGTGTGGTTTGCAATGTATACAAAATTTCAAGTGAAAAACGTTTTCCATGATGGCGTTTGTAAATCTTTGTTACAAATATGTTTCTTGTTGCTCCACCTCATTTTATTATCACACCAGACAGAGTCAACTGAAAGTACTGTATCTATTAAAGCTTCCTGAAGATTGTTTTATTTTTTAAAGACTAAAGTTTTGTGTTTAAATACTTTGTTCTTTCCTTGATAAACTTCATTAAAGACTTCCCTAAGTATGAGACAATGAAACATATTTTTTTTGCTACAAAAAACTTTGTAAAATACATATTGTGCGCTGAGAAACAATAAATCTCTTGTGCCACTGTGGAAATAAAAAAAAATTTAGGTGCTTAACGTGGAACAATGTAAATGATGATAGCAGTTTTTTAATTTTAGTTTGTTATTCTTAGGTATTATGTAAGAATTCTTATTGTGTATACCATACTGCTACTGCTAACTGTAATTTTGTCGATATTGTAATGACGAATGGATAAAATCAACATCTGGAAACTAATTTCCTGTGAAATTCATCGAACTGCAGTTCCTAAAATTATAGCGCGAACACAAATCTCATCCATTGAAAGGTACTCATCCTTTAAGCCATAGGATCTTCAAACTAACCTTTCCCACCTTCAGTTCGGCAACATATATAAAGTTCAGTTGTAAAAGCAAGGTCCCACTAACCAACTTTGTTAAAACTTAAACCAATCTGATCTATGGTTTAACATTCACCAGAAGCCACAATTAAATGCATGAGAATTTAATTGTAATAAGACCTAAACAATAAAATAAACGCACTGCTGCTAACGCTTTCACTGGTTAAAGTTAGATTAAATAGAAATATTTACGTTAAACAACTTAATCAGTGTTAAACTCGAAGGACATCCGCAACATGTTTTATCCAAAAATCAATAAGACGAAATAAACAGAGCCAAGTGATAATTAATATAATTAGAAGGCTTCGTCATCTTCACTTAATTAAAGTGTCAAATAAGTTTAGGTTGTAATTAGTTTATTTTTTTCTCTTCCAATTGTGTTTGAGTGTTTGATTTTAAATTAACAGTGATCATTAAGTGGCTAAGTTTGAAAAAAAAAATTTCTTTTCTGAAATTTATAAATTTAACGGGAATGACCCGCCCTGTGGAACATTTTACGGCTGCGCAACACAATTCGGGAAGCTATGAAACTGGGATTCTTGATCCCATCTGTCAGTACATTCGCAAACTAGGGTGTTATTGCAGCCCTTTGTGAGAAAAATACGCGGTGCGGTCACCTGTATGGACATTTCAGTCGAAAAACAGCTTGTAAAAATTTTGTCTCTTAATGTAAGTAAAGTTTTTCTGATAGTTTTAGTGGATTGATTTACAGAAAAAAAACGACTTTTTTAATCATGAAAAATTTTAAAAGCAAACTTTTGCTATGAAAAATTTTAAAAGCAAACTTTTGCTATGACAATTTTATTTAATTAAAAGTTAGTTTTATAATAGATTTATCTTTTTTGATGAATGCGAATTTTTATTGCAGACAAGTTTTAAAAATTATTAAATTACTCTTCTGTTTTTTCAAATGCGGAAAAGTTGTGTTGTCTGGAAAATCCCAATATAACAAAAGTTGTTACGACTTAGAGTTCAATGTTCAGAAGTTCGTTTTTACTACATTTGGAGCTTTCCAAATACACAATAATGATAATAAAACTTGTTAACAAACACAGAAAAAACTTTGTTCAAACTTTTACAAGAAGTAATATTATTAAATCTTTAGAGTCGAATTTTGACAACATAAAATTAATATTCGACGGGTCTGAAATATTAGAAGTTGTTTAAATTCCATCCAACTTTATGAAACTTCTTACAAACTCTTTCACGAGTTGGAAGATACGTAGGTACTTATTATAGATTTCTTTATATACATATGTACAAGGGTTTAAATTGAAATCTTGGAAAGAGTAAATAAATAAATAAAGTTGTTAGAGCAGCATTTCTTCATTAAGCAAGCAGTAATCGAGATTGGGTCAAGGAGATCTTGAAGATAACATATGCAGTAAAGGCTGTTTTGCATGAAGCTACAAAGCATTTGCTCCAGTTTAAGTCCGCATGACCGCACAAACTTGTGCAATTATCACAAAAGAGGTACTTACGACTTTATTTTTAGTAGATTTAAAAGAAATTCAGATCAACAACCTCATCAAGAAAGGAATTTGTATTAATGTAATGGAATGTTTTCAAAGCGTAAAGTACAAAGCACACAAAGAATGAGGACGTTGTAATTCGGAAAAGTAGCACTTATTTATTTTGCGAATTTTTGGATTGACCTAAAATTTTTTGTTCTGGTAAAATTGCAGCGACAGACAGCTTGAATAAAATATGATGCGAAAAATTTACTTTTAATTGTAAGTGACTGAACACTGAATAATAAATGACCTAGCCATCACAACTCCATCAACCCTCGATATCGTATTCCGTCAAGAGACCTATTTTTTGCGTAGAACCGCTGAATAG